GCTTTGATGAAATGCTCCCATTCAGAAATATAAAGCACAGAGCGGTGCTGTTTGGCAAATTCCGACACTACAGTGTCAATCAGGAAGCTCTAGTTCAGTCATACGTGCAATCTTGGGATATAAATCACGTAAAAAAAATCAAGCAATGCGTCTCTATAATATAACATAGCCAAATTCAGCCTTTTTTCTGCCTTCATGAGAAAAAGCTCTAGAAACCCTCTGTCTGTGATATAGATGAGTGACAGTTTGCAGTAGTTAAGACAAGCGGCAGCCGTTGTGCAGGTTTTTTTCTGTCTAATAAATGAGGCAAGAAAAGTTTAACTGACACTGAAGCACCGTGAAAGACTTTGTGGCAGAACGTAATCACCCGCTTGGAAATGGAGCTCGTTTTGGGAAGTGACTACTTCTGCACGTACACGCACAAAGGCATAGAACTTGAAAAGGGGAGTTTCTGGTTCAAGATGTTTCCTCTTGTTTGTGTCCTTATTTTAACATCTAAATTGGGCCTGACCCCTGCATCTGAATTGCTGCCCTGTGAGAAAAATCAATGTACTGTGAAAGGCATCGCTGTGTTTCCTCTTCTCCGCTTCCTTTCTGAAGCACGAGAAGCTGGTTTGCATGGCACAGCTCCTCTCAAACCAGGACCAGGATTAAGCTTAGAACAAAGGAGATTCAAGCTGGAAAAGACGTATCAGGTGGGCTGTGTGGTGCAGGGTGTCGACAAACACTGTGTGATCAACCAGGGCATCAGGAGTGACACAGAGGTGCAAGAGACAGCCTGGTTGTTATGCTCCCCTTTGCTCTCTCCTCATACAGAACACAATTATTTTAAAGAGAAAGCTCAGGGGGGATCTCATCGCTATATGTAAATACCTGAAGGGAGGGTGCAAAGAGGACGGAGCCAGGCTCTTCTCAGTGGTGCCCAGTGACAGGACCTGAAACTCAGGAGGTTGCCTCTGAACATCAGGAAACGCTTTTTCACTGTGAAGGTGACCGAGCACTGGCACAGGTTGCCCAGGGAGGTTGTGGAGTCTCTGTCCTTGGAGATATTCAAAAGCAGACTGGACACCGTCCTGGACAAGCAGCTCTAGGTGGCCCTGCATGATCAGGGGGTTGGACCAGGTGCCCTCCAGAGTTTCCATCCAACCTCAGCCATTCAGTGATTCTGTGCTACATGGGAAGATGGAGATAATACTGTTACTGCAATGTGAAGATATAGAATCACAGAATCATAGAATCACAGACTGGTTTGGATTGGAAGGGACCTTAAAGATCATCGAGTCCCACCCCCCTGCCATGGGCAGGGACACCTCCCACCAGCCCAGGTTGCCCAAAGCCTCATCCAGCCTGGCCTTGAACCCCTCCAGGGATGGGGCATCCACAGCTGCTCTGGGCAACCTGGGACACTGCCTCACCCCCCGCACAGTGAAAAATTTCTTCCTAATATCTCATCTAAATCTGCCCTCTTTCAGCTTAAAGCCATCATCCCTTGTCCTCTCACTCCACTCCCTGATGCAGAGTCCCTCCCCATCTCTCCTGTAGCCCCCTTTCAGCACTGGAAGCTGCTCTAAGGTCTCCCCGGAGCCTTCTCTTCTCCAGGCTGAACACCCCCAACTCTCTCAGCCTGTATGTGTATGCCAGCATGTATTTTGTAGTCTTTTATTTTTAGTTTGTCCATCTTTGGGCTTCCGAGATGACATTTTTCTCTTGCACATTTTGGAGGCAGTTAGCTTATGTTACGGGAGGACTTAGCAAACCCTAGGAACAAAAAGCAGACCCCCACCCCCCCAAGCACTCGGCTGCGCTCCGGTGTGCCCTGTGCAGAGAATCTTTGTCACTTATGAAGAGTGGAGGCGAATCTCCTCAACTCTGAAGTTTCTTTTACATTGAGAAAACTTACTGTGAAGGACCATCAGTTTCTCAGTTTTGTCCATCACTGCAAATGCACTTAACTTCTTTCTTCATTACAGCTGTGTGTAATTGTATACATTTTTTTAAGACTTCCTGTTTTCAGGTTACAGGTTAGTGTTTGTGTGTGCGTTTTGGGCATCGGCTGTGCTGGTGTGACAGATGAAATCGGCACGGCAGAGCTGTGTTCACGTTGTATGCACTGCGCCGTGGAAGCGGTTAGAAAGCTGCAGCCTGTGCTCACTGCCTTCACATTTAACGGGCTGTATGGAGATGTGCTAGAGATGGAGCTCCTGGGGCATTCCTCTGCTCCTCAGCTGGCTGGTGGCTGTAGGTGATGAAGGAGGAGTGATGCATTGACACGAAATAAGATGCAGAGAAACTGCCATTCCTCTCTCCCTTGCCCAGTACCTCCTGCAATCGTAACAGTCTGAGACATTATCTGGCTTCTAACAGTGTCATACCTCCAGAGGTCAAACAAGTTTTTGCCGGTATAACCTTGCCGGGAATCACTGTGAAAGCAGAGGAAGGAGAAAGCTACATCTTGGGGCTTGTTCGCAAAGTTGTTCATCTTCAGTCCTGGAGACCTGGTCAGAACGGGTACACTCATCCTCATTATTGTCTGTTACAAATTCATATCACAGATTGGCCTGATTGAGCCCATTCAAGAATCTGGGGGCAGCCTGGCTGCCCAAGATACTACTCTGGCAAAATGATTGTAATCAGCTCATAAATAAATACCCGAAACACTAATTATTTTTGGAGGGTTCTATTCTAACATGTAGAGAAGAAGATGGCTCTTTGTGTAAGACATCATCGCATCCTCAGATTTGTGTGCTATTGCTTGCATCACATTTAATTTTTAACAGAAATCGAAACTGCAGCAAGATGTGCTTCCTGCCATGGTGTGAAGGTTGTTTGACCGTCGAGGTCAGTGCATCTGGGCAGCCTCTGCGGTGATGGGATGAACACAGTAGCACTGCAAGAGCAGGGTCTATGTTTTATGCATTTTTGTTCCTAGTGTGCACTGATACGATGTGAACCACGATGCTCTGTGGTATTAATAATCCATTAAGAGAATTCTCAAGCAGGGCTAAAAGAAAAGTTAACAAGGCAAATGGAGCCATTATAGTGTATTTTATTAATGAGACACATTTTTCTTGCATCTCAGGTGTAAAAGATTCTCTCATCTGGTAACCCCCAAATTAGAATATAAGTAATACATGTTTTGGATCTGCATTTTCTTATGCAGCTGTTAGAAAAATCTTAGTGCAGAAATACTGTCATTAAAATAAAAGGCATCTAAAATGAAGCAAGAAAACTTGCTGGTACTTCTCATCAGTGTGAGAAACAGATTTTACAGTCTGATATAATTTTTACAGTCTGATGGATTTTTACAGTCTGATCGGACTCCAGGTCTCAGTCCAAATCAAGCTAACGCTGGTTTTGCTGATAGTGGGTAGGCGGGAGAAGTGACAAATTCCAGTTTTTCCAAACTATCAAGGGTCCATTTTTTTTTTACAGATGCTGTTGTGTGTGCTCATAGAGTTCACGACCACCTTTCCTCAGTGTTTTGGCATCCCATCCTTCCCAAGACCTGAATGAAATAAATGAACATGAGAGAGATCAGGATCCGTTCTCTCTAGTGCTCTTATCAGCTAATTTGCTTTGTGTGTTACCGCTAGAGAGTCAGGGTAGACTCTACTCCTTTTGAAAACATCAGTATGGGGGAGGTGGTGTGGTAACATAAACTTTCTGTAAGTAGAACCCTCGTTTGGTGGAGCTCTTCAGTGAATGTAAAATATTGCTACGTTGTTCATGTTGAGTGTGTTGGTCACAATTGCTTCACAGAAATAATACTTTTAGTCAGTATGTTCAGTAGAATATTCAATAAATTGGGAGTGAAACCAGTGCTCTGCTTTAGGGTATGGCATAGAATAGTAGAAACGATACAAATAAGCTTTCTGCTTCTTAAGCAGAAATATATTGAACATCTGTTCTCCTGAGAGATCTAAATTGTATAACTGAGCTTTCACAGCAGATTTGACCTGTAGTTGTCATTTCTTATTATTAGGTCATTTAGAGGCATATCTTTGTTATCAGAGAATCACAGAATGATTTGGGTTGGAAGGGACCTTAAAGATCATCCAGTCCCACCCCCTGCCATGGGCAGGGACACCTCCCATTAGCCCAGGTTGCTCAAAGCCTCATCCAGCCTGGCCTTGAACCCCTCCAGGGATGGGGCATCCACAGCTTCTCTGGCACCACCCTCACAGTCAAAAATTTCTTCCTAATGTCTAATCTAAATCTGCCCTCTTCCAGCTTGAAGCCATTACCCCTCGTCCTCTCACTCCACCCCCTGATGCAGAGTCCCTCCCCATCTCTCCTGTAGCCCCCTTTCAGCACTGGAAGCTGCTCTAAGGTCTCCCTGGAGCCTTCTCTTCTCCAGGCTGAACAACCCCAACTCTCTCAGCCTGTCCTCATAGGGGAGGGGCTCCAGCCTCTTACCATCTTCATGGCCCTCCCCTGGACTCTCTCCAACAGGTCCAGGTCTTTCCTATGCTGAGGACTCCAGAGCTGTTATGCTTCGACCTGACCATGTTTGGAAAAATATATTTAATAAACATGCAGGTGAAAATTTGGTGACAGACATAGTGGCTTTTCTCAGGTGATGGTCATTCTTTAAAAAAAGGGGGATAGAAGATGCAGGTTAGAACAGTCCCTCAAGATCTGACAATAATTTCCTTGCTTTGCCGCTGATTTTTTGTGTTAAGATGATAAATAGTATAAGGAAATTGTGGACTTCAGTTTAGAGGTGTATCCACTGTGGTAATACTGTCTGGATTGGTGCTGAATAAGGAAACGAGGCTATTTCATTGAGTCATGAAAGTTTTACCTCTTCCGAGAAATATTTTTGCAATGTTGAGATGGGTATGATGGAGGAGGAGAGTTGCATTTATATCCCTCTCTCTTTCTCTGTCTCTTTTTTCTTTTATATCTTATATTTTTCAAATTAAATGACTTCCCAAGATAAACTTCAGGATCGGTGCTTGCTACTCTGTTTTTTTAATAATATTTTGACATGTATTTTATGTTTGGAAAATATTAAAGCAGGAAACAATTCACTGCTTTTCTCTTTACTGATAGTTCCTTTTTATGTAATTGGAATATTACATTAGAAGGTTTGATGAACAGAGAAATGAAACAGCCACAAGTCTCTTTCACTCGTGGCCTGGGCTATGTGATAAGAAGTTATCGCATTTTAGATCTCGCTCTGAACACTGGAGGGTCGCAGTCCTGGCAGCGGATCTTTCTTGGTCACGAGAATCCTCGTTTGGTTGCACTTTCCTGTAACGCTCTGGTTTGGATACTGAGGGTTACAGGAAGGATTATAAGCATGAGATTGGCATGCAGAAGCCGGTTATAATCATGGTATTTAGCAGTGCTCCAGAGCCTTGCAAGCAATCCCTAGACTCTATTAGAATCTGAGACAATTTATGTGGACATTCATTAAAACATCTCTTGACTGTTTGAATATTTTATGGACTACTTGTAAATGAAAACTTGGTATGAAGTAAGATCATTTGCTTTATTTTTTTTTATATAACTAATTTCTAAAAATAGGGGATAGATTATTTTTCACTGCAATGTTGTATCAGTTGCAAAATAGAAAGGAATTCTAGCGTAAATATTTGTGCTACATCTGGCACTTGCTGCCAGGCTCTTCGCTGTTACCGGAATCCAGCCTCACCTGCTTTACAAATTCCTTCTAGCTGGGGCTCTGTGCAGCGCGGAGTGACTTCAAGTGCACTGATCGTATTCCCTCCTTTCAGGTTACTATCACAACAGTACGAAAGTGGCTGTGAAGACTCTGAAGCCTGGAACAATGTCTGTGCAAGCCTTTCTGGAGGAAGCCAACCTCATGAAAACACTTCAGCATGATAAACTCGTTAGGCTTTATGCTGTAGTGACCAAAGAGGAACCTATTTATATTATAACGGAATTCATGGCTAAAGGTGAGAACAACATTGATCTGCAAGCAATGCTGTAGTGAACTCTTCTGCTTCTCATAGATCAGTCCCCTTTCTTTATAAAGGAAGGAATAAAAAAATGAAAATCTGGGATTTTAGTGTTATTGAGTGCTCTGCTATAAAGTGAAGGAGCACCTGTCCTAAAGGAGGCCTGAGGCTTTAATTTTATGATTCCTTGCTGCATTTGTGAAATACACTATTTTTACAGTTTTCTTAAGTGTAGCACTTCTAATTGTTTCAGATGCAGAGCATAACCTCCAAAATAGCTCTGGTTCCCTTGAGCTCCATACCTAACTTCTGTATCTGGTGTCATAGCAAGGCAATTAAAACAAGCCATAGAAATTGCCTCATGTGGCCCTTGAATTGATAAATCCGTGTGTGATAAGGCAAGTGATGAGTGGTCCTGCAAGAATGGCTCCACTCCTCGAAAAGGACAACCTTTGTTAGAGCATTACCGCACAAAATAAGTCAAGTTTCCCTCTCAGATTGTCTTGGGTGGTGGTTTTTCTTGTTTTGTTCTGTCTTCAAGCATTTCTGCTGATAACTTCATAACCAAGTGTTGAGCCACTTATTCTGTAGGACTTGGAAAGGGTTGGTATGTGTGATTCTCCTAGACAGCTTTCCTGATAGTCCATAGGCTAGGGTACTTCAAACTCAATGTCAACAAGCTAAGGCATGGTCTGATGGGAGTTTTGTGCTCCCAGGAAAATGGCAAACCTTGGGTGTTACCGTTTTTAAGTCATGTGGAGAAACTGCCTTACTGTGGTCAACTTCAAAATACATCAAAGCACTTCACTGTAAAAAAATTGTGATGCAGAAACTTGGACACCTGGTATGGACCTTTCTTTTAGTGATAAGCTGCTCTGACTTCATCTTCCTCTGTTGTAACAGGAAGTTTGCTGGATTTTCTGAAGAGTGACGAAGGAAGTAAATTGTTGCTTCCAAAGCTAATCGACTTCTCTGCTCAGGTAAACTTTAAGAATTATACTCAGAATTAGTGGGGTTAATGGTCTGTAACTCATGGTGGGGAACTTTATCCTAAGTTTTTTTGCATTAAAAAATAATTTAATTTTCAAATAAGTTTTAATCTGAGTAAATAAGGTTACTTGAAAGGGGAGACTAGATAAAAGAGGTTTCAAAGGGAATATGTGAAGTTAGGCTTGACTCCTAGATACTGCTGGTGACCTGCTTGTATGGCAGAGGTATGCAGATGCTTTCCTTTGTGCAAAGGCTCCTTTCAATTCAAGCAGCTGTGAGTTGAAAGTGTAAGTACAAGTTTGTGAGCTTGTCCTTATGAGCTTCCTCCAGTGTTAATAGGTGTGTCATTTTGACTTCTCAGGTTAGGTCAATTGGTCAAACTTCTCTTGACCTCAAGGGACTATTGTTGGTTTCAAGTTCTTATGTAAATTACCGTGAAATAACTGAAATCTAATCAAATGATGTTTCAGGTACTAGTACTTGAACCAAGATGGTCATTTCAAAATACACAAGTTATCCCACGTCATAAATGAAATCTGGAGAGAGAAATTTCTGGAGAGAAAGCCCAGAGTGATTTGCGTGTCAAAGCCTGGGTCAAAGGTTGTGTTCATTTTAAATGAATACTGTGGTTTTGGAAATTTAAGGCTTAAAAAGCTTCATGAACTAGAGAGCAACTCCAACTGTGACAACTTGGGTAAATCACTTCCAAGATGCCGGGGGTCAGCAACTGTCATTTACAAAGCTTTGAAGGTTGGGTCACGTGAAATGGACATCACTTGTCACCCCAGTCTGACAGCATCCTCTCAGAGCAAGTTCCTGCACTTGGCCTCAGAGGCCAGGACCTTGAGCATCACAGGTGATATGAGGAGTCCCTCTCCTCACATCAGATGTAGACTAAGCATCACAGGTGATATGAGTCCCTCTCCTCACATCAGATGTAGACTATCAACAGAAATTCCTGAGACTGAGCCATGCGTTAGGCTGCTGAGTGATCTTGAAGGGATGCTGAGGAACACCTCTCTGAGGATTTCTAGTTTCAACCCAAAGAAAACTTTGGAACAGATAAACTGGGATTTTTCTCATAGAAAGATTTTGAGAATTGTTTTTGAGCACATTTGTAAAGAGCTCTTAATGCCACTGGGTAATAACAGGACTCTGTGGAATAGACTTGCAGGCGGCGCGTGGTTCTCAGACTAGAGATTTCCCTCTGACCAACACAGATGTTCCACTGGTCTTCTCTCATAGCCTTAATGTTGACTGATGGGTCTTTAGGGCAATAGACAGACAAAAGTATTTTCAAACTGTTGGGCCACTGCTAAGGTAGTGGTAATTTGGGTGGTAATTACTGCAGACCCGTGGATCACATAAAACATGAAATATGTCTGGTATTTTTGGTATGACTCGGGTTTGTACAAATGGAACACTAATTTATTCTTACAGCAGTGGTGTTAACCTCTCTGTACAGCCTAAGGGGAAAGAAATTTGGAGACCTATGTTTCAGAAGAGGTAAAAAAAAAAGCATGGAAGGAAGTTTGCCCAGGGCAGTGGTGGAGTCACCATCTGTGGAGGGGTCAAGAAACGTGTCGATGTGGTGCTTGGGGACATGGGTTAGTGGGTTGGGTGGGGTTGGGTTGACGGTTGGACTTGATGATCCTTGAGGTCTTTTCCAACCTGAATGATTCTACGATTCTATGATTCTAAGTTCATGGTGAACTACTTAACAAGACCAGGCATACTTTTGTGCCTTGGTGGACCCAGTCTTGAGCTCTTCATGACTGTTTAGTCACACCGTGCTGGCAAGGCAGTTTACCAGACTATCCCAGCTTCTCGGAAGGACGGAAAAAGTGACAAATCATAGCTGAGGATTGGCTTATTTTTCCCCTCGTGCATCTGCAATGTTGCACGAGGCTGGCACATGGATGTCTGTTGCAACAGAAATTGCTGAAAGACCCCAGCCCATTGCAGAGGGGTACATTACCAATGGACTTGTGATACAGGAGGAAGAAAATGGGCAAGAAGAGGTTCTGCTCAGTATGTTGCCTTTTTATCCAGAGGAATGGCCTTTGCTACCTTCCAGTGGCCTTGCCAGATAAGGAGGGACTGGGAAGGGGAGAAAGGGAGGGGAGGATGTGGGATCTGTGACTATCAGATAGCTGAAGAATCTAGCGCAGATTCTAGAACATGAATCCCCAGCTGAAGCCCCTTTTCCAAGAGGTGCTGAAGAGCGCTGTGGGTTGGTGTTTCCATTGCCAGACTGCGGTTAGTGCTCTGCTCCCTGACTTTGTAATGCCTTTGCCTTGAGCGGTCTTGAAAGAAATCAGCGTTCACAAGGGGTGAAACGTTCTGATGTTGCAAAAATAAAAGCAAGGACTGCTCCCCAAGGTGAAATAATCACCTTTTAAAAAGATAGCATTTTCCAAGCAAGTAATCAAATCTACTCCTGCTCTGCTGTACTGATTTTGCTGCTTTGTTAGCTCAACACCAACACTCACTCATTGCCGTTTTTGACAGCAATTGCTGAGTGCTGGGGACAGACTTGGTAGAAAGGCCTGTAGCAAGAGGAACTAAAAGAGGGTCTATTCAGACTAGCTATAACAAATCAATGTTTTACAATGAGGGTGGTGAGGCACTGGAACAGGCTGCCCAGAGAAGCTGTGGATGCCCCATCCCTGGAAACATTCAAGGTCAGGTTGGATGGGGCCCTGAGCAAGCTGATCGAGTTGGAGATGTCCTTGCTCATTGCAGGTGGGTTGGACTAGATGACCTTTAAAGGTCCCTTCCAACCCTAACCACTCTATGATTCTACTTAGTTACACTTAATGTCTAGTGACTACTCAGGATTTTTTTTTTTTTTTCTGTACTAATAATCACAATTTATGAAATTACGTTTGTGGAAAACAGGTCAAGAAAATCCTTGCTAGGAAGGTAGTCCAGCTCAGTTTCTAGAGCAATCTGCCCTCTGAAAGAGATGAAGTTTCTCTTTTGAGTTTTAATTAGTGCATATGAGTAGAGGCTGGGGAAATCTAGTGTTAGCTATGCCCTGGCAAAGATGGTTTTGGCCACTGGAGAGGAATGATAGAAGTCTCTGAAAGGAGTGTGTTTTAAAGGAAGCTCAGTTTTGCAAATACCTCTTCAAGCACAGACTACCTGCGTTAGTCCAGAGCAGAGCTGTGGCATCTCCCGGAGGAGTCACCAGGACTGTCAGTATGTCGGACATGCCAGAAACAGGAATATGGAGAAAGCAAAACCTGAGCCCACTTCCCTGTGCGTGTGAGCAGTGCTGGTGCGTGGGGCGGTGGTGCGGCAGCCTCCTCGGCGGGTCTGCAGCTGGCGTGTCTGGCAGGCGTGAGCCAACACGGTTGGCAAGCGGTTCCCCTTCCGGGGCTTTCTGCCTGTCGGCCCAGGGAGCTAAAGGTGCTGTTAGCTGGTGGTTCTCAGTTGCGTGTTGGAGTGTAGATGAGTTTCATCATCCACGGTGAGGGTGGTGAGGCAGTGGCCCAGGTTGCCCAGAGAAGCTGTGGATGCCCCATCCCTGGAGGGGTTCAAGGCCAGGCTGGATGAGGCTTTGGGCAACCTGGGCTAGTGGGAGGTGTCCCTGCCCATGGCAGGGGGGTTGGAACTCAATGATCTTGAAGGTCCTTTCCAACCCAACCCACTCTGTGATTCTGTGATTGCTTTATCCACGAGCCACACTGCCTGTCTTCCCCTTGGTCACCTGCAGGCAACAGCCCCTTCAGCACTGAAGTGGCTGGCAAGCTCTGGCTTCTGCTAGTTGGTTTTTGTCTTGCCCTGGAAGTAATTTACCCAAAGAGCTCCCAATTCTTTGCTTCATAGTTTTTGAAATCATACTTGCTTCTGTTTGATGAGAGCTGCTGAAATTCAGTGAGCCTGTGTGAACTCTTCCTTCTTCTAACGCAGATCCGTTACCTACCTATGTGGTGGTGGCTGTGGTTAGGAGAATTGTATCAGTTGTTACTGAACATACTTATAACTTTCAAACTGGGCAAATCTTTGTCACAAGTCTTTCTTCTTTCCTGTGCAGCACTGAAATGTTCATTCATTTTTCTATGAATAACAATGTCACTGGCAACTCTTTTTTCTGCCTTGTAAGGCTACCATGCCATTAAAATAACAGTAAACTTAGAATAAAATTAATAGAGATTTTTTAATTCAGTGTTTTAATCCCTCTCTCCCCTCTTTCTTAAGGTGAGAGGGGAAAATCCTAAATCAGAATTAATTGTGACTTTTATATGGCATTGGGAGGTTTCCACTGCAGTTTTGCCATATTCCTTCTCAGGTTTCTTTCATTTTTAATGATACTCTCTAATGTTCCAGTGTGTAATTGTATCTGTTACTTTCATGATCCTTTTTTCCCTGTGGGTCTGCTTTGACTACATAGCTGCTTGACTGGAGCAAGAGGAATATGTTTCTGCAGCGTTTCCTGAATTCACCTTTAGGATAAGCACTGCTGCAAACTGAAAATTGGCATTACACTGATCTATCACTTGAAGATTAAAATGTGACTATTTCACAACAGTTTTCAGTTGCTGGATATGAAGGGTCTACACCCTCTTTGTAGATAGAGAGGCATGTGAAGATGAACTCTCTTTTTGAAAACTCCGTGATCAAGAAGTATGTTTTATTTTATTATGCAGCTGGACATTATTGAAAGGAACCTGGTTTTGGTTAGTGCCAGACCAAAGACAATCTTGTCCTGATCAATAACACGTGTTTGCTTCAAACCTCTCAAAACTGCAGACTGTGTTTAGTGAGGCTCTTCCCTAGGAACTGACAATTACCAAACTGAAGCCAGTGTGAACCTCAGGAAATGCTCCATTATTTCCTCTGCTTAAAGTTCACCAGCAGGACGGTCTCTCCCACCCGAAATGCTTTGCACTCATGTCCAGTCTGGTTTTGGGGCTGCTTTGCCTTCTTTGGCAGGAGCATCCCACCGAGCCCTGGGCAGCTGGAAGCAGCTCTGAGGCCACCATCCGCCGAGCCAAGGGCACGGGCTGTAGTCGGGACCCTCAGGGGCAGCTCCCCAGCCCCAGCGTGGCCCCGGGGAGTGGGCACAGCCATTCAGCCCTTTTGTTTTTTTTCCCAGACTTCATTTATAACCAAATAAAAACTAGGCTCAACTTTGAATACTGATTCTTCACTTTTTTTTTTTCTTCCCCCATTTTGCTTGCCTGCTTTGCAGGCGAGTGAGGATGTGTGAGTTTGGGTATACTAACAGTTTTCAGATTTTTTTCCTGTGAGGTTGTACTTGTCAGGTTGTTTATCTCCAGGTTGTTTAAAATTAGCTTTCCTGGAAAAAAAAAATAATCTTCATATTTGGGCATTCTTTCATTTCCTTTCATCTCCATTCCACTCTGTTTCATGATCCCTGTCGCTTAGTTTTCCTTCTCAACATGATCTAATATGTTCTCAGTGTAATGTAAAAGCATCCTATCAGGCTGACCCTAAACAAACCCATCTGGCCTCTTTAGTATCCCACATTTTTATATACAGCCTAGAACTGCACAGGTGGAATCTCTTACACGTGTTGCCGTGACCCCCTCTCTGCATGAAGAAATGGCAAGAAATCCCGAATTTCTCCTGTTCTGTAGGAGAGAGAAAAAAAAGAAAAAAAAAAAAAAAAGGAAAATAGCAGCGTTTTCACCCATTTGAAAAAAAAGCACAGAACTACCCATCCCTCTCCATGCTGTTTAATGTCAGCTGTGATGTTTTACCAAGGAAGTTGTTGAGTTTTGACCAAGCGCTTTTGCTTTTCAGAAGGTGTGGCTCTTCTGCGACAGTAGGTTCTCCTCTCCCCACTTCAAAGTCCTCAGCTGCTTTTCCCTCTTTCCCCAAAACAGCTTCAGAAGCTAAAGGAATGGGTCAGGAAGAAGGGAATGCCTGTTTCCAAAGCCACACCCTATATGCCACGCTTTTGCTACCGTTTTTCAGCAGAACTGTGGCTTCGGGTCCTTCGTTTGTGGTGTGACTTTCAGCTGAAGCTTTACAGCACACAGGCTGTCTGGTGGAGTGATTTATTTCTCCCAGCAGACTTTTCTTCTATTCTTTCCCTGGGTGCCTAGTTCCTAGTATTTAGAGATTTGTTGGCTGGTTGTTTTTTGAAAGGATTTCACCTGGGTATTTCTAGAAGCATGTCAATAGCTCATGAGAGGTGAAGGGGAAGCTGCTCCCTTCTTGGTAGTAACGCTTGTGCAGTATCAGCAGAATCCTCTCTTAAAGGCCACAGAACATCTTCCAGAAGCCCAGATTAGCTTTCCCATCCTGCTGCGTAGTCACGTGCAGCTGAAGTCTTGACAGGTACCAATGATCATTAAAAGAAGGGGGGAAAGGCTTTAATTTTCTTTTATTCCTATGAATTTCTCTACCTTTAACGTATCATTTGGCAATGAAAACCCAACAGTTAGCGTAAAGAGCTAGCACATGGGCTCTGGCACCCATTCCCTTGATCAAGAAATCCTCTTTTTTTTTTTTTTTTCTTTTCCCACAAGCAAAGGTTTAAAGTAACCAGATGTGCGAATTCAGTTGTACAGTTGCTGTGTTTCCTCTCCTTCTCCCATTCAGAATTCCTTGCCCATTATTCTTTTCCTACTTGGCAATTTTTTGCACGCCCAAACGCGAGCACATCCATGGCTTCTTTGACTTTCTCTGACTCAAAGCCATCAAAACCATTGTCCTGGAATTTCAAGGAAACGTAGTTTGTGTTTGCTGAAAACATAATGGATCATTTGATGTCACATTCTTCATTTGTGACTAATCAGATGATGACTTCAGTGAGTCTGGCACAAGTACAAGGAAATAAAATGGTCTTTCCAATGGCTTTGCTTGGTTGGGCTTGGAAACGAAATGTCGCCATCACAAGGGTCTCTTTCGTGGTTCTTCATCCCCCAGCCAGCAGTTTGCCCAGATCTGTGCAAGGGAGCAGGAGAGAGGTTGGTTCCTTTGTGATGGTTGCTGTATGTTTGGTGATGTTCGTGGACCTCTCTGCATTTTGCTCGTACCCACCAAGCTGGCCAGTCCGATCTCAGCATTGATCCTCCATCAAACCCTTCCCTTGCCTGCCTCCTTCCTCCCCAAACCCAAGAAATTGCATGGGGAGGAGAGGGAGGCAGAGCAGGCTTTGATCAAATGCTACTCTCCTGTTTTGTCTGTAGTAAGATGCTCTGTGACAACCATTCACTAGTAGCTGCTTCCTTCGTTATAAAATGTCTCACTAATTGCTAGAACATGTGAAATGCAGGTGTTCTTCCTTCTCTTCATCAGCAGAGTTTCTTTCTGGTTTGGTTTGAGAACGCCCTGCGCTGTAGAAGGGCAGTGTGACACTCTGCTCTGAAGAATATTTCGGTTGGTAAGAAGAGGTTTGCAGTGGAAGGAGGTGGGAGGGCAAGTGGCTCTGTTTTTCCATTGCCTAAACCAAAAAAGAGGAACGAAGAGCGTGTGGTTTTGTGTTGTAAGCAGCGGCAGTGCGTGCCTTCGCAGTGCCCCCCGGGGACTTTTCAGAAATGGCCAAGCAGAAGTGATGTTCGTGTTTTCTTAACATTGGGTCAGGTGCTCCTGCCTGCTTTACTGCACGGCTGAACCCTGTGCCTGTCTGCTCCCGAGGGGAAAAACCGTGTGGCCGAGAACAAACTGTCACCCACCCACAGCCATCCTGGAGGGGTTCCCGCAGCACAGGTTGGACCTGGGAATGACCCAGCAGCAGAGTCTTCCAAGGGAGAGAAAACCTGGCAGCTCACAAGCACTGGGGTTTTTTGTTTTTTTTTCCTAGGTCCCCTTAAACTCAATATATACAATCCACACATCAGTTTTATTGCTCTGAGTTTAGAAACTATTATTTCAGTTTCTTTTTTTTTTCTGAAAAGTAAAATGTTTTTCTTCAGGAGGAAAAAAAAAAAAAAAAGTTAGCCTGGGCAAATACTGAAAAAAGCATCCCCAGTACATATTTTGAGGACACTAATCATCTTTAATTTGGTTTGGAAATTAATTTGGGCTGCTGAAATACAAATTAAATTTACTTATGATAGTATCTGAGAGCTGGCTGTTGCCAAACATTCCTCGTGTATGAACAGGTAGGTGTTGCTGCAGAAGAAAATAAAGTTGTTGGCCCTATCTTAGTAATTGTTTCCTGATTGTCCAGGCCTATGCTGGGTAAATACAAAGTCGTTGGGGTTTTTTAACTCTGTCTGCACTGCTGCTTCATCAGTCCTTAAAACATCCTCTCTATCTTGTTTAACTTATTCATTCCTTCCATTTTCTTAATATTTGGAAAATAAACTGGTTAATAATTTGTGGAAGAGAATATTTAACAGAAAGCTTAGGAACATTTTAATTAAGATTTCATTTCAAGAAATTTCTCTAACACAGATCTCTAATCCTGCCAGTCACCCAGACAATTCTCTTGAAGCTGCTGCTGTAAGAACAGTTTTGCAGGATTGGATCTCCACATGAGTTTCCCATGGCAATCACCCTTTCCTTGCTTACATCTAAAAATTGCTCCGAGATACTGGTAATGAGTAAATGGACGTGGCTTTGCTGCTACACTGAAAGAACAGAGAGCTCAGACCTGCTGGTGCTGTGTGGTGCTGAAATACCAAAAGAGTTTTTTTCTTTTGTTTCAGATTGCAGAAGGGATGGCATACATTGAAAGAAAAAATTATATCCATCGAGACTTGAGAGCAGCAAATGTTCTGGTTTCAGACTTACTGATGTGCAAAATTGCTGATTTTGGACTCGCAAGAGTCATTGAAGACAACGAATATACAGCAAGAGAAGGTATGTATTTTTATTTTGGTCTTTAAAACTTCAGCCTCTGGGAGGCAGTGAGGCTGTATCTAACCACAGTGTGATGCCCAAGGACAGAAACTGCCCTGACAGCTTCCTAGATAGAGTGCTCTAATGCCAACAGCTTTGAAAAAGAATAAGGAAACAGATAACCTTTCTTTGCTCCCCAGGCTTTTTGGACAGCTTATTTTCAATAAATTGGAAGAAAAAAGAAAATTCAGAGTACCTCACTGCAAATTTTTCTAAATTGAACAAATTAGTTGCACACCCACAGCTCCCATCCCACCAAATGAAATGCCGAGAACATAGGATCTCATTTTCCCTTCACATCCTTAGGCGCCGGCTGCACCTCCTTTCGCTTAGGGAAAGGCAGGAGTCCTGCCAGGTGTAGCTGCAGGGGACACGAAACCCTTGAACAGGACCGGTTATCTTTTGAAGCTGCGTTGGGAGCTGCAGCATTGATCCGTGTGTTCAGCAGCGTCGCTGCGCCATGTAGGGACGCTGGAGGGCTGGCTCCTGTCCCTGCTCAGCCCACGGGTGAGAGGTGGCATCACAGCAGGGTCAGGACTGGCGAGAGGGGAAATCGTCCTGTTAAACTGATTTGTCTGGATTTTGCCATGTGTGTTTTGCTCATGTGGTCCAGGATCCTTTCAAGAAGTCAGCTCGTTGTAGTGAAAGGTTATTATTGATGCTTCCCCGCACAGATTACATCAGGGTGACTTTTTGGAGCCGGGCTGCTGGCTGGCTTTCCCCCCCTCTCATTTTAAAGATCTCATCTTTTCCTGCAGTCTGGATGGAAACTGTGGTAGTGTGGGGGGAAGAACTAAGGTATGAGGAAGGGAGAGAACAATGTGCTGCAGCTGAGATGAACGGCAGCTGAGCTCTTCAGCAGCCAGCGGGGAGCGGTCATTCAGGAGATCAGAGGGAAGGGGCTGATGACACGGTTTGCAGAGGCATAGAGCCCGTATCTGCATTTTTTAGCTAGCTCTGGACATTGTATATTGATGAAACGAACCTTTCTGGTTTATAAATTCTTTATGTCAAGTCTCTTTGATGTATTTTCTGCCATTCAGAAAAGTTTCCTCGTTTACCTGCAATGACAGAACAGGTTAGAAAGGGCGTAGAGAGAATCTGCTTGTGTTGCGCTCTGTGATCCGGAGATAAAGGCTGCTTGAACTATCCTGATTTAACTAGAAGGAGTTTGCTTGGGATGTTCTGGAATCAGTTAATTAGACATGAAAGCCAGTATTTTAATATATGATTAAGATATGCCTTGCTGCTGCTTTTGCACAGCTGAATGAATGTGAAACGAGGTGAAGTGCATGTGGAAGCCAGACTGACTTTCTTTAAAATAGGAAAAGTTAGTTAGAGTCTTGTGAAGTTCCAGCTGATGAGAATTGTGAGATTGTTGCCTGGCCGCGGGGCTGAAGGGAGAATGGTGACTGTCATTTCAGCAGAAATTCACCATACCTAAAGGTCAAAAGGTGCTGCGTAGCTTTGGGCATCCCATTTGCACCTCTGACACGGGGACACAGCGTGGCCACGTGCATCTCTGCTGAAAACTCTTGGACAGAAGGAGTTGCTGGTAGCTTTGCTCATTTAGGGTTATCATCATTCAAGTCGTTTAAGACCTTTTAATGACTTGATATTGAGTGTTTAAATTGGCCTTTGATTGACTGAGACTGTACTTTTTTTTTTTTTTTTAGGGGCAAAATTCCCTATTAAATGGACAGCACCAGAGGCAATTAATTATGGATCTTTCACGATTAAATCTGACGTGTGGTCATTTGGGATTCTCCTGTATGAAATCGTTACGTATGGAAAGATTCCTTACCCAGGTAGAGGCGTGTGTTTACACCGTGCCTCGTGGCTGCATTAGGTCGCTGTGAATGGTTATGTGCTTCACGTTGCATTTTCCTGTCCGTTAAACAAAATACATATTAATGTTTCCAGCGTGCAGAGACGGCTCATACAAAGGGTATTTTTATGCACACAAACTCGTCATCTCTCAGGCACAGCTGATGAACTCCGGGCAGCAGACTGCATTCATTGAACCCTACTGCGGTTAAGGAAAATTGACTGAAATTCTCTTACCTTGTGGGCAGACAGGGAAAGTACAGCCACGTTCACCTGTACTGCACAGCTCAGAGATGGAGCCACTTCTAGGGTCCTGCAGCTTACAGGCAGTAAAGGGAGAGCGGATATTTCATCCAAGCAGAGCTTTCCCAGCACTTCCAGTGCAGCAGCTCTTGCTGTTTAAACAGTGAAAATATTTTCACCACCACTTAATGAGCAGCTGGCATTCTGCACCCTGAACCGCCAGAGACAGCAAAGGGGCAGACAGTGGGCTCAGCACCCCTGGGCACGGGGAGAGCAGACCTCCTGCGAGACTCGGGCCGCAGGGAAGGGGGGATGGCAGCCAGCTTTACGCTGTGTTATGGAAGAACATCTCAACTTTCCGTACCAGAGGTAGAGCCAAAGCAGACATGCTCATTGCTCGGTAAGGCTCCAGTCCAGGAAAGCACTTAAGCTCAAGGGTAGCCCCCTTAAACTTCAAGAGGTGATAGGGCTGCTTGCACAGCTGAGTGTTTCAACATATGCTCTGGGATGTGTTTTAGGTAAGGGCTATGAACTATGGGACTGAGGAGCAGGTCCTCCCAAAGCCCACTGCTCATGTCCCCAGGAAATATCAGCTGGGAGGTGTATGCAGCTGAGTAATGCATGGTTCTTCCCTGTCAGGATACTTTTTTTTTCCCGTTAGCACATGCCTATGTATCCAGAGAGCTGCCTACACTGAGATGGCCTCACAAAGTTATTTCTGGATACTTTGAAAATTGTCCTTCCCTGGGCAAACCTGCGAGCTCACCTGGAAACCAGCACTGCAAAAATACAAACCCCAAACCAAGACTTAATTTTGCAGCTAAGTCAGCTCCTTTTTTACCCCCATAAAACATATCATATTTTTATTTTGAGAAAAAAAATCCCCAATCTGTACAGCAGACGCTGGTACTGCTGCACTACTGTGGGAAAATATCTCTTCTAGGGGAAGTCTGGGCAAAATTAATTTTAAATATGGAAGCATTTTTATGAGCACCATAAATAGGCCATACAGTGTGGATTCATTTGTCAACCAGGAATTAGAAGCAGAAGCCTCTTGACTGGAAGATTTTAATAGTTTGCAGGCATTGCTTGTGTTAAACAGGAAGAGGGATAGATGTCTGTTTTAAACAGAAGTATCAATTGAAATAGCCTGTTAGACTGAAAGTTGATATTGAAGAACCAGAAGGACAGGAAAATAAATGGGTGACCAATTTACATGAAGAGACGTGACAGGTTTAGGCAAATTACCCCAGCGTGGCAAGAGTAACCTGGTGATAGGCTGTAAGCAGTAGCCACTGGAGGGAAACAGCAAATGGATTTCTCAGTTCTGATGGGAATGCTCCAAAATATTATTTTCAATTATTAACCAGAAATACTAACGAGTATTCAGCATAAAGCTGCATATGAAACAGTTTGAGTTAGAACTGGCAAATAGTTAATACCTGTGAAGAAAATCTGTGCCAGGTGCCACAGCATCAATTCACAGACATCTACCAAGCCTTTAGAGCTAATGTCCTTTGCTAGCATTTAAAAGGGTGTAAGTGTAACAAATATGCGTGTTGTGGGATATATTTCTTTTACTGATGAGGATGTAGTTTTGATGAGACAAGTAATTCTCTAGCCACAAAAAAAAAAAAAAAAAAAAAAAATTCACTATTTTGAGAATACTGCACAGACTGTGGGGTAGACAGGTAAGCCTTTTTGTTTTAAATACGACCTCAAACATGTGAAAGTGTGTTTGGAATATGGAATACTGATAAAAGTCTTGTCATTTTTGTCTTGTGAACTTAAATGGTTGTTTAACAGATAGTTCTCCTGCAAGTTAGCTGAAACACAGGCTTTGTCCTTGGCATTCAGAATGTAAAAATTAGTCCTGCAGACACTAGATCTAAGCTGAATCCTGTAAAGTACTTAAACCTACAGAATCAGCCCCGTTCAGCACAAAACCCAGTACCAGCAGTCCTCACGTGGCAGCACACAGTTAACTAAGACTTTGCATACTGTGAATCACTGTTTTACTCCATGCAATGTAATACAATTAGTTCTTTAAGCTCAAGCAGTCAGATCGCTGTGCTCTATAAAATGCTTCACTGGCTTTCTTCCTGGGTTTGTTTTGTGTTTATCTAGCAGTGATTCCTCATTCTGTGACAACATGCCATTCCACTGCTACCTTCACAATGCTGGTTTGCTGCACACATAGCTCAGGAAAACTTCACTCCTCTTTCCAAAGCAGGACTGAAAATACAAAAGATGTGCTCAAAGTGAGCGCTCTGATCCAGACCCAGATTTCATGGCTGATGGTATTTCTAGAATAGGTTACAGCCAAAAGGCTTGGACTGACGTATGAACTGTAGTCATCTTGAATAATCAAAGTAGTTCTACCGGATAAAGTTCTTATTAGGTTGTAATTCAAATGTGTCCTTACCTGCCAAGTAGCTTAAACCATGGCTTTAGTAGATGGTGTGTACAAAGACCCCCACGGCCTGCTCTGGGGTCTGGAATGTCCTTCTCGAAAGGGAACGTCTTCACCGGGGGAGCAAATATCTAAGCTGAAGCACAGGTGCTTCCTGCACAGCCAGTTGGTCACTGGAGTACAGAAAGCTCAGAGTCTGTCCCCTGGAGAAGGTAATCCAGGCACAAGTACTCTGCTGGAAACCAATCTCGCTCAAGGATTTAAAAAAGGAAAGGGGGGGGGGGGGGGGGGGAGGGGGGGGAAAAAAA